CAACGATTATAGATCTAAAAATTTAGTATAAAAGACTATGAGTATAAGAATACTCGATAGGATACCGTGCTCGGATTTAACATGTTAATGCTACACAAGAGAAAGCATTCAAACACATACTTGCACATTCCGACTTGTCGGTGCCCTTCGAACTTGTCCTAAGGCATAAAGATGCAGTTGATATAGGCCTGATAAAGATGCAGTTGATATAGGCCAATTTTTTCTTATTACATTTTTCCTATTTGGTACATCTTATCACAAGGGAGTTGATGATTCATTTTTTTGTCTTCTTGAGTCTGAAGAGATGATTTTCTTTCCTTGGGGCAAATAAATTTTTAGTGAGACTCTTTCATCATAGAAGAGTGCCTTTAACAAAAGATCAAAAAATATTTGTACCGAAAAAAAGCTCTTAGAATATAGGTTGAGTGGATTTCTACTTGCTTTTCAAGTATGAATTTATAAAACTATTCCTGCTATTTCTCGAAAGAGGTATTATATAAAGCATGAATCTCAACCTCCTCAGATGTGATGTTGGAGTTGTAAAGAGCACATAACATATGTGAGTTTAAGGAAGAACATTTTTTATTCACTTAAAGTAAGTTTTCTTTACTTTTATTACTTATTTTATATCTTTAGTCTTTTTATTGTTGTTATTTATATGATTTTGTATCTTTCAGCTAGAAGTAAAATCGAGTGGTACCTCTAGAGATAGAGAAGAAAGAAGACTATGCAGTTGGTTTGTTTATTGAAGGGAATAGTGAAAGTTTGGGGGTGACGAGGATAATGACGACTTTGAGCATCCAGTAACTTCTTCTGTTGAACTATTGGATGCACCAATTGTTGGCTGATCTAGCAAGACTGTAGAAAAGAGGGGCAAAGGGAAAATAATGATGTTTGTGGGCATTTTTTTTTTTATTATCGTAAAAGTCGCTTTTTTAACAAAAAAAAAAGTGATGACAATGTGTGGAGAGAGTTGAATGGATATTTGGTTTGTTGTAGTAAACTTTATTTAATATACAGGGAATTGTGTGGATATTTTTTATTTTATCATCATATTGGCACTTTTTTAACAAAAAAATGTCACAACATCACTTTTTAACTAAAAGTGGTGATATTTTATGGAGAGAGTGAAACAGATATTTGGTTTGTTGTAGTAAACATTATTTGATATGCAGGGAATTGTGTGGACCCTTTATATATTTGGTACATTGAATTGCAATTGGATAATAAACTTGTTTTCACTAATGTTTTTCAGGGAGCTTCGCAATCTAATTAAGAACTTTGGAAACAGTTGGCTGAGGTTGAAATGAAAGTTATTCAGTCAAATGAGACACATATCTAACCTTGATATTTAAATTCAGTCAAACCCATTTGAGAACCGTCTAAGAGAGATTGAAGAGAGGGTTAAAATGAATGATGAAGTTATGGAG